AGTTATCAACAAAACCGCAATATTAATTTCTAATATTCAATTTAAGATCAAGCAACTTCAGTGAGCAAAACGTATTTTTTCATTCTTCTAATATCTGGATAAGATTGGTTTTCACCAGAAGCTTTGACAAATTTTATGGGGTTTTTCTTCTTTTTCTAGTTTTGCTATAATATCACAATCTGTAACAGTGAACTTAAATTAATATTATGCAATAAAAAGAAGAAATTTCTTTGTATATTTGTCATGATAACGAGCATGAAAATAATCTAGGATATATTAATTTCCTGTTATGTCAAAATCATCTACAAGTGCATGTACCCACTTGAGACATTTGAGACACTTGAAACTCAAGGCAGAAAACACTACGGGACTGCATTTTAATCGATTTAGAAGGCGTGCAATATAGTGACTGTTAAATTTGTAGAGCATTGCATACCCCATAACACATGCGCAGTATTTGAAATGCAGTTTGGTCTTCGTGTGCATGAACGCGGCACCGTCTGTAGGCTACCTTTAACTTATTTTCCCGACTATTTGAGCTCGTTTTGCGAAACCTTGTCGAAACTAGTATAACGGCTTAGCCTTAGTATGAAAAGACGTAAAACATGGCGTCATTATTGATGGATCCAGCATGATGCTCTGCCAGCTCAAGTCGCTTGCTTGACTATTGTATTTGAATTGTAATTGTTGTTCACAGTTTGCTTGTCATTATGTTGTTATACTCAAATTACTGTATCTCATCTCTCTAATATTGTTTTGCTTTATCATGAAAATTAGCACCCCTCCCCCATGCCCCCTCCCAGTAAATCCATGTGGTTTGAACTTTAGACAATTTCTGACAACAATTTTACGTATATGTACGTTTCGGCTATCATATAGCTTTCGTCATGCAGTCGGTATATATATAATTATTATATAAATTTGTCTTTACAGCCTTATAAACTTAATAATAAAAGAAAACTGATAAAAACGAAATCTTATATATATATTTTTAGAAAATGGCGGAGTATGCTGAGAACGTTTATGCAAAACACATTACGAAAGATAATCTCGATGAAAGTGTAAGTATATATTGATTATTGTCGCATAAAAAGCCTGATGTAAAATGCATTTGCAGATATAAGTGTCAAGTTTTCTTTCGACACAGAAAATGCTGTTCATTCAGTTTATCCCTTTTTTTATGAAATGAGCGCATCGGCGTACGAGACAGGACGATAGTGCCCCCTCCTCCCGCTGAAAGGAATTAGAAAACGGAGGAAAGTTGGAAAAATGCTGGGGAATTATTAAAATTCTCCATAAAAATTCGGGCAGACATTTCAGTGACCCCATGCAGGATAGGATCGGTTCCGTACTCTTATGAATGAACTTAATGATTTTAATAATAATTTATTTGATTTACCACAAAAAATATATAGAGAGAGGATATTACACGACGGCGCGAAGATATGACTTTTATTTTCGAGTGGTGGAAACAATATTTTACGAACGAGCGCAGCGAGTGAGTAAAATATTGTTTTTAACACGAGAAGATAAAAGTCATATCTTCAAGCCACCGTGTATAATGTTCTGTTTATTATATAGTCCCAAGCAAAAAATTGTGAAATTTCACGCTCAAAAGCAAATTGGAAAAAGTCACGACGTGACGTGATCGATATCTTCACTAGTGATGATATATGGAAAATATCGATCACTGTGTATTTTTCAGTATCTCACTCTCTACTATATATAATAAACATAATTATACAAGTATACCAACAATCAACGAGGTAGCCCATGTATACAAGCCTTATGGTTTCTATTTGGGCTTTCCTCACCACAATTATTTTTGTAGCCTATATGTATAATTTTTTTTATACACATACAAATTAAAATAATTGTGCTGAGGAAAGCCCAAATAGAAACCATAAGGCTTGTATACATAGGCTACCTCGTTGATTTCAGATTAAATAATTCATGTGCATGATACTAGGGCAAAGAATCAGAATCACATTTATTTCACACCGGGTATTTAAACTAAGGATAACATTCAGCAGAATTTACTAAGTATATATAGTTACAAAACCAAACCCACATATTAAAATTACTATATTAAACAAAGTTAACGTACAGTGATCAAAGTTATTATATAAAAGTATATGACGGCGACATAACAGAACTGTGTAAGTATTTATATTTGCGAATAAATAAGGAATTGACTATACCTATTCTTAAAATTAGAAACTAAATTTGACTTTTTTATATGGTAAGGAATTGTCTCCCAAATTTTTGATGAAATAAATCTAAAAGTAAAGACTCCATAATTTGTTCGAGCTTTCGACCTAATAAAATCTGCCTTTTAGATGTTCGACTTTAAGAATGGAATGAATAGATAGTCGAATAAGAATGGTTGAACCAAATTACTAAATATGTTGAAGTTATATGTATTAACGAGAAGAAAGAAACGACCTTAACTTAGATTGAAAATTAAAAATAGAATAGATGATGAATTATACGTATATCGCGGGATTGAACGTATTGAAAAATTTTGGTTCTTGATAATTAACAGAAAATTGATGAGTATTTGTCCTGCAATAAAGGACAACGCATGAATTTAGATTTCAGTTGCTAAAATTTTGTTCAAGTTCTTAGTGAAACCATTTCCTTTTGTATCAAAATACGAAATTATAAACTTCATGCATTCTGTATTATATATGTGCAGTTGCATGAGTAACAACTCAAGCCTGTGTTTGCATAGGTTCATTGTTCATTTGTTATGACCCATAGCAGGTCTATAGTAGTATAGAACTGCAACGATATGATATGTAACGATCTTTCCCATCTATATTAAAAAGGAATAAATAGAAGATTTTAGACGGTTGCGAGGAGATATGGATTTTATGTTCGAGTGGCAAAAACAATATATATATATGAGATATTGTTTTTAACACGAGAACATAAATCCATATCTTCTCGCAACCGTTTAATGTTCTGTTTATTATATGGAATTATTCAGAGTGACAATTAAATACACGCAAAGAGGACATGTAAATAAGCACACGAAAGACCAGTATAAAAGCGATATTTTTTAAATTATAGTGCAAACATAAAACTAGAATAAATTTTACTTATCTCAAGATATCTTTTAAATGTTTTCGTTTTATTCCCAACGTTAATTTCGTTTTCAGTATATACGAACCAAAGACCATTTGTATTTTCCGCAAAACAACAACAGTCAACAATGAAAATGGCGGGAAATTTTCGAACTTCGTATGTCACTCGCAAGCGTGAAATACGGAAAATACGCGCATCTGGTCCCGGATGTAGTGGCATATATGCAGAGTTCTACGAGTGTTTTAGTTTCCATATAATAAATGTTATTATTTTACAGTATGTTTACTTCGATGCTGTTGGAGGGAATGTTTCGACGCTAATCGATAATCTTGATGGATTTTCTGATGGTGTCACTTTCACCACAAGTGCTGTTCAAACGCCTACAGATCTCTACCAGTACAGTATGTTGAATTTTCTCTCTTAAAATGCCAGTAACATTTTTGTTGTCCCCAGTACTTGAAGAGTTTTCACTTGCCGAGTTTTCAAATGAAATCGTTTTTGTAAAATTATGTTCTTATAATGAGCCATGCAAACCCACCCTCTCAACATTCCGTGTGGGAGGAATAGGCTATTCCAACTTTTAATTTATGCGCGCAGGGGGTGACGGGAAGTAAGGTATCATATTGCTGGTTATGCTGAAAAATTTCCATAAAAACTGCCGAAACAACCGAAATATTTCGATATTTACAAGTATAAGCTATCACTCCGTGTTTACAGGGCCACCATTTTTATTTTTTCAGCACATTCAGCAATATGATACCTCACTTCCCATCCCCCACTAAAAGCTGGAGTTGCCTATTCGGAGTACTCGGAGGAAACCTATGGTTTTCGATAGAGCGTTGACTCACACAGGAAGCATTGACGTCACATCCCACGATCTCAGAGATGAAAGGCGCTTACTCCAGCGATTGCGTCAGCGATTTAACCACTGACCTGTTTGGATTCCTGATCGATTTCCAGATTGATTCCAATCTGTGCACATGGACTGGGACCGCGGAACAGGGAAGCCGGGGGTGGGGGGCATGCCCCCCACTTTTTCGGTGGATAATAGAAATTAACGGATAAAATTCAGCCTGCCTGCGTTGAATAGCTGTGTCCCCCCCCACTTCAAAACAAGCTCCGCGGTCCCTGATGGAACAAACTTTACGACCGTCAATTTATTTCACATTTGTATAGCTTCACTTAGAGCGGTATAATATCTCATCATCTTCATAATTATATAACTGGAGTAACATCGCCCAACAGGTGACACTGGATCTTTAACGGAAACAATCGCCTACATGTACAACCCTGAAACTTTAACTCTAGTATGTCACACTACTGGCCAGAAAACATTACTACGCATGACCAGAAAAATAAACATTTTGCATAAATCTAATACTCATTTCAGCTATACCGTTCTTTATATCATGTTTCGCTCACTACTCTGGTTTAAATAAATGACTACAACGCCCAGTCGAATTGTAATCAAGACCCAACGTTTCGACACTCCAGTCTAGTGTCTTCATCAGGGGTGATCTAAAGTTGCAATTGTGGCTTCTTAAATACCCAAGGGATGACGTCACCTGCCAGTGAGATGCATATATTCCTCTGGCAAATAGGCACCGTCATCCCTATTCAAAGCATGATTACTCATATTTATATGCCACGCTTCTAGGCAAAGTCTTTGACCATAGCGATTGTTTGTGGTAATTACTTTAGAGTTTTCCCACGCAATCACCAAACACGAGATTGCGTGGAAAAACTCTAAAGTAATTACCACAAACAATCGCTATGGTCAAAGACTTTGCCTAGAAGCGTGGCATATAAATATGAGTAATCATGCTTTGAATAGGGATGACGGTGCCTATTTGCCAGAGGAATATATGCATCTCATTGGCAGGTGACGTCATCTCTTGGGTATTTAAGAAGCCACGATTGCAATTTTAGATCACCCCTGATGAAGACACTAGACTGGAGTGTCGAAACGTTGGGTCTTGATTACAATTCGACTGGGCGTTGTAGTCATTTATTTAAACCAGAGTAGTGAGCGAAACATGATTGATATACCTGGTTGCAGTGAACGAACGTTCTTTGTATGTTATAACCTAATAATTATATCCAGATCTATTGGACAGCTTTCATATGGTGTTCTACATAATCTGTGTTTGTTTTCAGCTTCTGAAATCTTGAACTCTATTGCTTGGACAGATAAATTAGACAAGAAGTTCAAAGAAAATTTTGGCAATAAAAGTATCAAAGCGTGGCAGTATATTGGATTGTCAAATGGCGTTTATCGCTTTTATCCTGGTACGATCAGTTTTGTAAAATTATACTCATTAAAGACGTATATACAGTTTGTCTTAGTCGAAGGGAGGAGAGATGATTGTGTTTTATTGACAAAGTTGAAATTAGTCAAACCTCACTTCTGCTTTGGAATCAGAGTTGTAGACTCGATTCATGTGACTTGACTTGTTAACTAGATGAACGACTTGTGATTTGACTTGGACTGGAACAAAATTGAACTGGAACAAAATTGACTTGCAATTTGATTTGGACTTGCAAGGAATGACTTGTTGCCAGATCTAGTGAAAATTAACTTTTCTACAACTTGCACTGAAAATTCATCTGCGCACAGTGGCTATATATACATAGTGCAGCAAGATTGGCATATCGCAGTATGACTGTGGGCTAGTGTCTAAAAAGAACTGAACAGAATGACTTGCGACTTGACTCAGTCAAAGACAAAATGACTTGACTTGCTCATAGAGGTACGGGAGGGAAACAATTTGCGTCATAAACATCCCATAATTTCTGTCGACAGAGAGGGGGTCTCGTCGCCGGCGAAAATTTCGCAAGACATCAGTTAAGACATTTTCACAGCGTTATAAATTTCTTCCATTTTCGACGATTTTAATACTCGTCGCGCCTCCCGTTCATCATTTGCCCGATTTTTAAGTTGAATTGCCAGATGTTTTAGTACAATAGCCCGATTTTTAAGTACAATCTGTTCGATTTTTAAATACAATCTGCCCCCCCCCCCCCCCTGGTACGCTCATTTCACTTGCTACTCTGAGTGAATGACTTGCGACTTGGACTCGGAACTAAGTGACTTGTGTGACAACTAAGTGACTTGTGACAACTAAGTGACTTGTGACAACTAAGGGCCTGTTTATATGGAAGCCGGGCTGGCCCGCTTAGCGAGACAGCCCGGTAAGTGGGATGAATTTCTCTTGTGTTTATATGAGAAAATTTCATCCCGCTTGCCGGGACAATTTTGTTACATTGATATTGTTTTGACAGTTGTTAAAAATAGCTTGCGGCGGTATCTTTGAACTTTCATCCCGGCAACCGGGCTAGCCCGCTTGTGAGTGTTTATATGAAGAAATTTTCATCCCGGTAAGCGAGATCTCGCCTCTTTCAAGCGAGATATCGGCAACCGGGCCAGCCCGCTTGTCCATAAAAACGCACGATAATTTTTACTATAAAAATAACTACACAACGAGATCTCGCTTACCGGGCTGTCTCGCTAAGCGACCCAGACCGGCTTCCATATAAACACGCCCTAAGTGCATGACTTGTGACAATGTGACTTTAATACTTGCACTTGCAAAATAAGGCATGCTTGATCGAAGCATGTACATTAATGAGTTAAAAAGAGGGATGGCCAGATAGAATGGTTGAATTCCCAAGGATCTTGAGTGTCTTTAGATCAAATTAAAAAGGTGGGGGTATTGCAGGTTGCATTTGATTGTGGCTTTCGTTAACTTAAATTATCCGTCTTATTTCCAGCGCATGGTCTATGGTACGCTGGCCTATAGCACCCTTCCGGAAACCACGTTACTTTGGCTATGCAGCCTCGTGTGACATAGGTAAAACCTAGCAATGCACGAAAACAAGGCACTTTAGCCAGGGTAGTCTACTTTTCAGAAGTGTGTATTTCCATTAATAACTTTCTTCAAATGAAATGAAATACAGCTGATTCTTGCTCTTGATACATTTCAAACCTAATGCTTATCGAATTTTTTTAAAAAATTCATTATATAACCATTGCCTGTTAATTATTACGTGATCTCGGGAAGTCTAAATGCGTAAAGTTAATGTGTAAATTGTACTAACATATAATCTTGGATGTTTTAGGCGCCTCTTGGCCTAAGGGAAGCCGCAATTTAATGCAGTACTATGACGTTCGCCAAAGACCTTGGTATGTTCTAGGCAGTTTTACAGAGTGTCTAAAAAAAACGCTATGGAATTCAACAGGCTGTTGTGCATCACAAACTTAGCTAAAGAATTCAATTTTTACATAGGACGAAAGAGCTGTTATTTAGCTTTTCTATATGATAACTTTTTTAAACCTTAACGATGAGAAATGGCCACACACTCGTCAAATAAAAATTGCCGGTCGAAATCACATTCTTCCACCGTTGGGAATTGAAAATAATTAATTATGCAAAGTTAATCAATCCAAAAGCAATGCGAGCCTGCTGCAAGGTACTTGTTTCGTAAAACGTTTTGATTACGAATGTTCTCTGTGCAGTACGTGGTTAATCGAACCACGTTTAATGCAATAATTAATTGACGTTTTTATTGTTTCACTAAGACGAAGATTGACGAGTTTAGCTCATTTTAGGGAATTGTCTATGTTTCGTTTTCCATGCAATTCCCAACGGTGGAAGAATGTGATTTCGACCGGCAATTTTTATTTGACGAGTATGTGGCCATTTATCATCGTTACGATTCAAGAAAGGTATCATAGATAAGCTAAATAAAAGCTCTTTTGTCCTATGTAAAAATTGAATTGTTTAGCTAAGTTTATGATGCACGACAGCCTGTTGGATTTCCATAGCGTGTTTTTTTAGACACCCTGTATATGTGAGCAATTTCAGCCTTAGGGACCGGTCATAAAGTAACTGCTAGGGTGGGCCGGAGTGATTTGGGATGGGCCATGGAAAATCTTTGGGCAGTTTCGATGGGCCGCCAATTTTTTTGTATGTCCATGGTTGGGCCACCAAACAAAAACCCACATTTACTTTCATCGCTTATTATGATAAATATAATAGCAAATAAGATTTTAAAATCAAACATAATACAAATCTAACAGGGCTGTACACTGCACAGAGGGCAGCAGGGGCAACTGCTCCCCACTGAGAAAATTTAACTAATTTTATATAATGTGATTTGTGCTTGTAACGGATCATTATGCAGTCAGGAAATGAAAAATTTCATGCAAACAATATTCGAAGTGTCTATATAGCCGGCTATTTAGTAAACTCACTTGTCAATCCATACTCATCAAATTTTCAAAACTTTATTGTAATCATATGAAGCAAAAGTTCTGTCACTTCGACTCACTTGTTCTTTACACTTGCCAATGTTAACTGTTGCGTAACATACGCAAACTAATCGAGGAACATGCATTACTGTAGCAAAGAGTCAATCATATATCGAAGACCACTGAATAGTAGAGAATGTTTTGAAGGTCATGAGTGAAGTATATAATTCAATTCCAATCCTGTGCACAGTTAATGATATATCACACTGTTCGGTTTAACTCAGCATATCCACACAAAAACAATTTGTGTTGTGGGAGAATATCTGTTTGAGTAGAAGGTATCACAAGCTTAGTTTTGTACATTGTGTGCCATTGATCTGATCCATCCATATAATATATGATTATTGTAGTTGTTAAGTTATTTCCATACTAATGAATTTAGGTAAGATTGTCTTGCAAGTGGGTTGTTCTGACAAAGTTATCCAGCCAATATCCAGTACATGTATTCATCATTCTTGTATTAATCTCTATTAAACAAAAACATTTATATTAGAAAGCAAAATGACAATATAATGAGGAGGGAGGGTGGGGACTCTTTTAATTGTTAGCATTTGAAAATGGTTGTAACAATTTTGTCTAATTAACAACTCTAATGTGAAAAACCAAAATGTATAAGTATAATTTTAACTGATGACATTTTTACCTTTGCTCTAACATTACATTTGATGACAACTTAGACTACTTAGTTGGACTGTTGTTTTAAACAGAGTTACAGAAATACAGGACCAGGATTTAATTCAATATCTCGTGAGAACATAATTAGTTTCTTGTGATATTGTTAATTGGCAATATAATGCTTGCAGCCAGAATTTTTGACTGTTTAAAATTAATTACACAATGATTGTTTTTATACTATATTAATGTATATAATAAAATATGTGGTATTTGACTACTTACCAGATGAGGATAAGTTTCCATGTTGATATAGATAACTTCGGAATAATATCACAAGTAGAATCTTTATGTTGAAAACAAGACAGCCAATTCAAGATAAAATCAAGATATTTATGAAGCCAAAATATGGCAAAGAATAACACGACTTACACGAGGCCAAACTACGCCCGTTCGCAGGTTTATAGGTGCGAGCACGATGTAAACAATTGATGTAAGCTCATCGCTGATTGGCTTAATTATATAAGCTTGTCGCTGAATGGTTATGGGTGACGTTAATAGTAATCTGCTTCGCGGATACAAAAATAAAGATATACACCGGCACTGTATTGATATATGTTCATACCTGCAAGTTTTTTTCATTATAAAACTGTATTTTCCCAATTTAGATTGGGTGGGTGGGTCATGAAATAAATTTGGTAAGATTGGATGGGCTTTGAAATTTTTATCTACATCCTAAGATGGGTCACCAAACTTATTGGCAAAATTTGTGATTTACCTCCAGCCCACCCTAGCAGTTACTTTATGACCAGTCCCTTATTTCGCCATAAATTAATAAATTAGTCGAAATCAAGCAAAGCAAAAAGCGCGGGGAAACCTTTAACTGAGCCCACAATGTCATGCAATAAACACTCAGCGACATGACAACAGAGGGAACAGGAACAGACAAGGAACAGACGGGACTTTTGTCGACGCTGCATAAAAATAGTGCGGGCTCGTGAGCTTTTTCCCGCAAATTTTGCTTTTCGATGTTTGGCGTACAATTTCTAAGGATGTTGAAGGTTTACAGCATTGTGATTCACTGGTTTTTGAAAGCATCTGGGTTTTTTTTGTTGGAAGTTATAAACTAACTCTTTAACAACCTAATGACTGTTTTTAAAGCAAAGCAATTGAAAGAAAACTTATATTTTCATACGAAGAAGATGAGTGGCGATATTTATGTTGGACTGTTTTCAGCAGATGCTTCGAAGAACATGATATGATCGGACCTTGTATCTTAAAATTGTACTTGAAACAGCCGAACAAAGTGGTAAATTTTGTTACCCAGTGTGTTGGGCGTCATAATTCACAGAAATAGTAAACAGCGGCGTTTAAACTGGCTATGAAATATCCTGAATACTTCGTCGAGTTTTCTACCGCCATGTGACCTGTAAATTAATGTGGCAGGCGTCTTTGAAAGGGCTTTACTTGGCTTTAATCGACGTGTAAGGTATAACTTAGGTAAGCCAACATTTCTTTGTAATGCAAGCTTCATTTTCATCTACCTTTCACGTAGTGAGGCAGGGCAGACGTGTCTTTTGTGCTCCGCCGATTGTTTGTAATTTTACTTTGAAATAAAATAGTTTTGAAGGCATGGATGGCACTAAATATACCGATTTCTTAATCTTTGATGGAGAATCATATCGTTGGTTGGGGAGCTATACTGAGTTAAAGAATTATATTGCCGAAGACTTAAAAATGGCAGGAATATGGAAGTCACCGGGAGGAGGTGCTAAGCGTTTCATAGCTGGCCAAGATTCTGAATTTGTTCTTAAATGGCAAAAGTCAAAAAAGTTGGTAATCGAAAAGGACAACACAGATGAGTATTTATCAAAATATCTTAAAGCTAACGCATGTGTCACGTCGGTCGTAGCTATGAACGGCTGCGAGAATGAGTTTTTGTCGACCAGCAGCAATGGCGAAGGCGTCCATGCGGCTAATTTTACCTTGCCCACTGAAACTAATATAAATGATGACCCATCCTTAGTGCACTTAACGAAAGCAGTAGAAGCTGGATTTAGTCTAGCAGACACGAAAATTAGAAATATTGAAGAGAAACTCAATGTTAAAATAAGTGATGTTCTTGACGATCTGAACGAACTAAAGGCCCGGTCTGAGCCTGTCTCCGAGCGATTAGTCAATGCATTGCTTGAAGAGAATACTAAACTTAAGAAAGATAACGATGTGCTATCTGGGAGACTCAATAATTCGTTGCTTGTTGTATCGGATCTTAACACCCGTATTAAGGACATTGAAAACGAGAAATGTAGTTTGATTACAGCTATTAGACTTATTCAATGCGCAGACAAAAGTCATGTTGACTCAACGGTAACGGAGCAGTTGAAGTCTGATGACACTAACGTATTTAATCAACATGATTTATCTCATAATTTAAGTATGAATGATGTCGAAGAGTCGATTCGGGTAGTTGATAAAAACCCAGATTATTTTCTGTCAAGTAATAAAATCCCGGAGTCACAAAGTTTGAAGCGCAAGTATAAGTCGAAAAGCAAGAGAAAAGGTCTAAACCTTGATAAGAATTTGTCCGAAAATGCAAATTCCACAACTAGATCGGAAGTCTTACAACAAATTCCAGCAAACAATAATCCCACAGCAGAACCAGTCATGCAACAAATACCATCAAATGACAATACAATGACAGAACCAGTCATGCAACAAATTCCATCAAATGTCAATTCAATAACAGACCCTGTTGTTCAACAAATTCCATCAAATACCAGTGGCACCAATAACTTGCATACTGTGCCAGAAACGCATAACAAACATGCAAATTATTCTGTGAAAAATGTCACTGTTGTTGCAGGAGATTCAATTGTCCAGAACCTGCAAGGCTGGCGTCTTTCTAACACTGACAACCATGTTGTTGTCAAGAGCTTCTCTGGGGCAAATATAACAGACATGGAAGACTATTTGAAGCCCATCCTTCGTAAGGAGCCGAATAAAGTCATTCTACACGTAGGAACTAACGATTTAAAACATCTATCTGCTAAGAGAGTGGCTGAAGGGATTGCAAATCTCGCAACCCAAATCGAAGAAGATTCCCCATCAACCAGCATTGTGATCTCTAGTATATTACCACGATCAGATAAATCTGAACTATCGGCAAAAGCAACAGAAGCTAACAAGCTTATTAAAGCAATATGCTCTAAAAATCAATGGGCATTTATTGATCATAAATCGGTTAATTTGTCTTGTCTAAACACAAGGGGATT